AATTCCTCAAGCAGAAACAAGCCCTATCCTGCTGCCTCTGTGCTGGGCATCAGCTGGCCTGGGGGGCTCCATGCTCTCTGCTCAGTCTCAGTCACTACGGTTCACAGAGCTCCGATGCTTCTGGTCGATTTCCTCCCTGCCTATCCACTGCTCAGCACCAACCACCGGTCCAGAACCTTCCATTGGAGGCAGGAACCTGTCAGCTCCCCAGGCATCTGAGTTTTGAATTTAGAGCAGATTCTGAACACAGCAGCCAGGGAGACCCATGGGGAACTTCTCGCCAAGAACTTTAGGGTTTCCAGGCCCAAAACAACCCTGCTTTCAAAGCAACAAAGGTGTCCTCAAGAGCCTGTGGCAATATGAACCATCAGTCAACTCAGGCAATGAGAAGCCAAGCTCAGATAGCCTGAACACTGAGGAGAAGATGACCTCGGTCTCACTTCCCTGTGTGGGGGAAGGGCAAGGGGAAGAACCCTTTCTCCCCCATGGGGATGTGACATGCTTGAATTAGGAAAAATGAAAATGCAAACTCCACAGCTGGCTCTTTCCCCAAGGAATCGAACCAAAGAAAGGAAATGACAGACATGGTTCTGTGTGTGTTGGCAAGCCAGAACTGCTTGCAGCTGGCAAGTTTCATGAAAATTGCCTCCCACCTTGTGTACACACTCATGCCCAGGACCGTGTGAGCCGAGGCCTGTGCTCCTGACATCAGCACTGAGCTGCTCAACTGACCTGGGCGCGGCGAGTCCCAGGCCTGTTGGGTGCTCGGACTAAAGAGGACCCAGGAGGAGGGCCCAGCTGAGCCCTTGCCTCCGTACTGGCTGAATCCAGGTGCGGGACCTCCAATTAGACTTGGGAGGTCTCTGGCCCTGGCTCCCAGCTTGGGAGTCCACACTCGGAGTGCCTGATGGGGAGGGCCTTGGACCAGGGGTTCTGGGCTGCCCTAGGCTGCGTTCTGGTGTCTACTTTAGGAATTGCCTGGAAGGGCATTCCCCTGTGGTAGGGCCCAGGGTTCCAGGAAAGCCTAGGGCAGGGCAGGGCTCTTGGGGGAGGGCTGCTACTGCTTCCAGCATGGAGGCAGGGTGCAGACTGTCAAAGATCTGAGAAAAAAATGCCAATACACCGTTCCCAGAAACCAGGTAGGGAGGCTTGGCTCAAAGCACATGACCTTTCTGAGAATGCAAACTCCAGAAAACAAGACTCCTTCCACCATGGGGCTGTGAGTGTGGTGAGCATGTCGCCCTGGGCCCTGGAAAGGAGCGTCCAGGGAAAGCCTGGGACTCATGTGGCCCGGTTCGGCCCCTTTGGCCAAACGGTTTTCATGTTGCCAAAGCCAATAAAACCAAGCAACTGCTGTGATCTGTTTCCAGCTAATGATTAACCAGAACTAAATGGCCCTGAGGGACCCCCGGTGGCCACAGGGGACCAGACTCATGGCCTGCTGCCCAGCCCCTGCCCTTTGCTGGGCCAGGTCAGGTGGCATCTCAGGAACGACTCCAATAGTAAACATCTCACACAGGCCTGGTGTTGGCGCTGCCGGAAGGATAGACTTTGGATGCGTGGCTGGGGTGTGTCTGTGTGTCCCAGTGGAAAACAGACATAAAAGTCCTCTCGAGTGGCTTCGGGGGGACTTTCCAAATGATCGTGCACCCTCCTGTCCCTCCTAGGGGCAGACACGTAGCCCCCTGGGCCTGCTACCCTTGGTAGACCTGAGTAACTGAACCAGCTATCCCTGGCCAGCTCTCCAGAATATGGATACCCAATAGAGATAGTGATACTGTGGCCTCGGTGTGTGGGTGCGTAGTTGAGGCATGGTGCGGGGTAGTCACCAGACTGGGCAGGGGAGGGGCAGTGGAGGCTGCCTGGAGCTGGGGATCAGAAGTTGTGGCCGGTACAGTCTGACAATGCATGCAGAGGAGGGATGGGGCCTGTGTTGGGGACTCCTGAGTCCAGAAGCAGCAAAGGCATGGGAGGTTAGACAGGGTGGGGAGGGCTCAAGTGTGTGAGCACTGAGCCCCAGCGATCCCGAATCTCTAGACCCCTCCTAGTCACCCCCTTGCTACTTCCTGCATTGGCCCCAGGGGCACAGGGTGAGGGGATGTCATGGTACCAACCCCTGGCCCTTCTCGCTGGAGGGCCTGAGGTCCTCATTGGTAAAGGCTTGGGACGAAGGCAGCTCCAGTGCCCAGAAAAGCCCCAGACTCCTGGTGGGCTGAAAGGCAGCCTGGCTTGGCGCAGGCAAAGAGGATGGGAAACTGTGGGTTTGCCTTAGGAAACCATGTGACTTGACGCCCCTGCAGGCCTAGTTGGGGCAGCCCTCTTGTCTAGGGGAGCTCCGTTGCAGCTTTCGGAGCATCTCTCATCCACCAGAAAGTTCCAAGTAGAGGGTGGGCACTGGTGCTAGTCCCCGCTCTGCCAGGCCTGGCTGCGTATGGGACCCAGGGCAGGTCCTGGCCCTTGGGGACAACCTCCTTGCCCTGATCTCTAGGATGAGGGCGCTGGGCTTGGTGATTGCTTGGGGGTCCTTGAAGCGTGGAGTGGGGGTCGGGTTCTGAGTTCTAAACCAATCTGCTGCACTGTGGCGGCGGCAGGAGGCGGCTCTGGCGGGTTAGGGTGGCTTCCGGAAGTGGGCACGTCCTTGGTGTTGCCAGGTCCCCAGCCAGCATCTTCCTCCACGGCAGAGTCCTTTCTGGGATGCTGATGTTCAGCTGGGATGGGCCTCTTCAGAGGGCCCTGCCACCCACCTTCTGCTGGAGCACATAGTGTGCAAGGGACAGCTGCTCTCCTTCTGGCTATCCGCCACTTAGGGCCCCCATGGAATAGCTCGTGAACAGCAGGAGGGGTGGCGTCTCTCCCACTCTACTTACCCGGCACTGCCAGGCTCCAGAGGTGGGGAGGAGGGGGACAGATGGCCACGGAATGAAGGCAGGAAAGAAGTGCTAGGAGCCAAGGAAGAGAGGAGCAAGAGGCCGCCCCAGGGAGGAAGTATGAGGAATCCAGAGGGAGAAGAGACAGCAGGCCCCACTGAGGCTGGGCTGGACCTGGAGAGGGACAAGGAGCTGGTCCTGGGGTGGGATGAGGCCAGAGCTGTGGAGAAGGCTTGAGGAACGCATGGAGTGGGGCTGTGGTGGCTGCCTTCCCCTTAACTCAACAAATGGGCAGATGGACAGACAGACAGGAAGCACAGAGAGAGATGGCAAAGAGACATACAGAGGAAGTCAAGGGGGAGGGAGGCTGAGGCACAGCCATGCGCCTTGTTGCCCCTCAGCTCCCAGGAAGGAAGGTGCTGGGAGGCCACGAACCATTTTTGGCCTTAACTGACTTGGCAGAGCCTCCTGTCGGCCTCTCTGGGTGGAGTGACGGCGAGGCCCCTCTGGGCCCACGTCTAGGGCACTGGAGGCGCCAGCTGCTTTTCAGCCCAACCGCCACAGTGTTGGCCAATATTTGTGACCAGGGTAGGTGGCACCATGATGAGTGTGGAGCAAGCTGGAGGTGTGCGTGGCCTGTGGTTTGGAGAAGTGTGTGAATGTGTGTGTGTGTGTGTGCATGCGCACACGTGTGTGTGTGAGCACACGTGCTCTGTTCCCAAGGGGGACAGGATGGCCCTCCTCCCTTCCTTAAAGGACAGAGTGGCCCAAAACGACAGCTTATTCAAGAGGAGGGGTGACCCCCACCAGGCACCTCTCACCAGTTCCTAAAAAAAGAAAAGACAGGAAAAGAAAAGAAATCAAGCTGGAAGAGTCTGTGATGGAAAAAGCTGTGGTTAAGGACTCCAATCTGCAGGGGAGTGGCGTGTTCATGTTGGCAGAGGGGAGCGCTTCGGGGGCTTGCTAGAAGGAAAGGAAAGAGGTAGCACAGAACCATCCTGACAAAGGCTCTGGGCCCACGCGTGAAGGTTTACTATTTGGGGTATAAACTCTCTTGAATTTGTTGGAGAAAGCAGGCTGCCTGGCTGGAGCCACTGGGTTCCCTGCATTCTCTCCCATCGGGGTGGTGGGGTCAGCAATAGAGTGGCTTTCCCTTTGTCTTTGTAAAAAGATGTGAGCAATTATGGAAGTTTCTACCTCCTTAGGATAGCCCCTGGGTTCTCTTTAAACTGTGACCAACATGGTAGGAACTTTTTGTGGCAACGTCTTGAAGAAAAGTGGTTTCTCTCAGCTTCTCAGAGGAAGGAGGGGAGAGAGTGTGGGTTAAGGATCAGGTTAAGGTCTGATCCTGAGGCTCGTTTGGAAAAAGTGAAGGCGCTTCAGGAACACCTGGCCACATACCCGGCCTCTGAGCGCCAGTTCTGGGGACACCTCTAACACCCAGTGGCTTGGGACAAGGCCTACAGGGAAGGCGCCACCTGTGCAGTAGTGACTGGCCAGCACTGAGCCCACCTGGGGACAGGCGACAGCAGCATCCTTAGGAAACCACTTTAAGGAGGATGCTGGAAGCGCCACTCCAGTTCCTGGGTACGCGGGCTGGATTCTTCTGCGGCAAACAGTGTGGGAAAGGCACCCACCACCCCTCCAGCCCCGGAAAGGCGGCCCTGAGCCCGCGTGCTGCCCTGACGTTGCACCACTAAACACTGAGCAAGGCCCCAGCCTGACACCAGACACCCCCAGAAGTGGCCCAAGTTCATGAAGAACCATCGGCAAAGGCAGACAAGTTCAAGAAAAGAGAACCAATGGCACAAGGAGCACTAAACATAAACCCAAAAACCAAAGCAAAGAACGGGAGGTCCGGAAGTGCCATGGGTTGAATACGTTTCATAAAAGAATATGGCTTTCAAGAGACACCGTCTGGGCGGGAAGGACTGGACAGGGCAGTAAAGAACAGAAAAGCCACGGTGAGCAGAATGCAAGACTGGAAAAGAGAGAAGGCTGAGCTGGGGAGGCTTATTCTTCCCCAGAGATGCCATTTATGAGAGAAAAGGGAAGTCAAGACTCACTCCCAGCAGCACTGGTGGGATTGGCAGCAGAGAGAATTGCGTGAGTAGGGGTAGAAAGATTGGTTACGTCATGAAGCTGGCTGAGGACCGAAGACCGCCGGCACACAGCAACCTGAACTGAACCGCTTCTCTTGAAGGTACTCACTACGTCCATCTGTGGGAGAGAAAATGAGATAAAGTTTGGCTTGCACTGTTGTCCAGGCTATCGCGGAGGGGAGGGCTGGGCAAGGATAGGGGCCACCACTGGGCACATAGGGTGACAGCAAAGCCTCACCAGGTCACCCTGCTCACTGGGAGCTGGCAATGTTTGGACAGGGCCCTGACTGATGCCAGCCTCTGTGCCACCCACCAAGAGAGGGTTTGCTGAGCAGATGGTTAGTGGTCATGAGATTGGGAAGGGAAGGGGGTCACAAGTCAGGGCACACTGCAAACATGTCAGAAATGCCCCTTGCAAGCCACTTGTCAGGAAGTACTTCATAGTTCTCAACCTTTTTTTTCCCTCCCCAACACACCTGAGGGACATGACAGGCTCCTATTAGAATCCGCCCTGCTTCCTCTAAACCCGGAGGACTTGTGCCCCATGCTGTGTCTGCCTGCCCATCTCCGCCAGCTTCTGTGGCTCATCCGAGTGACTGGGCGGGGGGCGCCCCCTCGAAACCTCAGCAGAAGAATAGACCTAGCGGAGGAGGGGATTATCCCACCAACTGGCAGCCATGGCTTCGCTTTGTCCCCACTCTTACAGCTTCCTACAAGTTGAAGGGGAAGCGAGGCTGGGGAAACTGAGGCCTGCAGGAGGGCCTTGACCCAGTGTCTTTGGATTTCCTGACCTGCCATTGGCTGGCATGCAGACTCATGTCCATCTTGCTGGAGATGATGTGAAGAGCAAAGCCAGTGTGCGTATCTGGAGCCCAAAGCTACCTGCTCCAGCCCGAGCCCCGCAGTGCTATGTGATGGCCACCAGGTTCACCTGGGTGTCTTGACACGGGCCAGGGCTTCACGGAAGAAGGCAGCTTGAGTGTTCAGACTCCCCCTGCACCAGCCAAAATGAGGATGTACGCCAGTTCAACCCTTGACACGCTGTGGAAAGGACTCCTCCTTCTCAGCCTGCCTAGTCCCCTTCTGCCCAGCACATCCCACTCATTCGCTTGTCACAAGGGGTACCTCGTGGCACTGGCTGCGACCATGAGGAACGCATATTGAGTACATCAGCGCACAGAAGGAGGATGGTTGATGTGATGGCGTCGTGGTGGCTTGCAGGGAGATCTCCTGTCTAGATTCAGGAGAGGACTCTTGCTGCGGCAAAAGTGATGAGGGGTAGGAAAGATGCCTTTCCTGCCTCGGATTTGCATTGGTCTGGCCTGGCTACAGACGGTGTCCCAGTGGGAGAGCCCCATCAGTGACAATACCACAGTCGCCACCACCCCATACCTGGAAGCCCAAGAGCTGAGCCAGGAGCAAGGCCCAGTCGCTAATGAAGCTTCTTTTTGGGTTATTATGGGATGCAAAAAAGACAGACCGAGTCATGAGCGCTTCAAAAAGCTACATGCTCTGGGTTTGAAGGACTCTTTTATTCTGGAATGACACCCTGTCCATCTGGTGCGTTGATATGTTAGTATGGAACCATGGTGCGAGCAGGTTACAAAATCCCTTCACTTAGCAACAAAAAAGCATGTGCCGGCCTCCAAAATCTGGGGAGCGATTTTTGTGGTTCCCAAAACACAGAAACCTGGGGCCAGCTGTCTAGGAAATGTTTTTCTTGGCTTGGGGCATACGCACAACCTGACGGGCTTCTCCCAAGCTTTACCTCCATTTTTCAAGCAGGTATTTCGAATCAAAGAGAGCAGATGCTCTTACATAGCTGGCTAAAAGAACCGACTGGTTCAGCATTCCTGAGAAACATGGTGAGTTGGATGTGACGAAGTCAAAGCGAAAAACCATGGGGGTCAGGAACCCATGAAAGAGTCAGACCGGCTGTGCCGAGGGGAAGGAGTGCACCCTGTTTCCTCATAGGTAAAGCAGGGGACTCACCAGCCCGTGTCTCTGTGAGCACTGACAATTGAAACAGCCTGGAACTCTAAGACTCTAACCGATGGGACCCACTTCTACTAGCCAGGCTGCAGTGGCCCCCACATACAGAGGACAGGAGACACACAGGTGGTCAGTGTACCACTGACACCACTGATGCTTCAGGTCAGGGCAGGGCTGTTGTCTCAGCTGCTGGAAAAGCTAACGTTGCCTTTGGCTGCAGCGGCAGGAGTGAAGTGGGCTGCCGAAGGGCAATGTCCTGCTGTCCTCACCCCCAACCCCAGGCTTGGGCAGATCTGGGCTCTGGGCTCTGGGCTCTGTAGCACAACAGCCCATCTGGGGGCAGCTGGGGGGCTCATAGGCATGGTCTCCTAGAAGGCACAGTTGGGCCTCTAGCAGGGCACTGGGGAAGATGTGAGTGCTGCTTCTAACATTTGATGTGTTTAAGATTTAGCACAGAAATATATTGCAGGGATTGAGAAGAGACTATCTGTGCTGCACCCCTGGCCTGTCCAGGCATTGTGCTTGAGGCATTAGCCCCTGCACACGGGAAGGGAGACACAGGCCATCTGGCGACAAAGCCTGCTCCCCTTCCTCACCGGGGCTCTCTGTGTTCTGACCAGGCCAGGCCATAGGTAACAGTGTTCGGAGTCCAGACCTAAGACACCCTTCCCAGGCTACGCTGTGTTGGGTGCCTAGGATGCCAACCTCATCTCCCAGTTCTCAGTTGGAGAGGCCCCTTGGACTCCTTGGGGGCTCTTTAAATGTGGAGTTCTTTGGTGCCCCTTGACCTAACCTTGCATGATCGTGGTCTCTGGGGACTCTGTAGCTCTGGAAAGTTTTGCAAGGAGCCCGTGTGAGTGAGAGGAGTCGGAGAGGGCTTCGTAAGCATGAGGGCCTCAGGGGATGCAGCGGGAGTTGGGGAGGTGCACTGGCACAGGCGGGCAGAGGGCATGATTGGAAAGGCAGCCGGGGGTGCAAGGGTGCAGGAGGGTTGGGGTGACACCAAGAGGCAGAGGCTTGAAGGTCATGGTCAGGAGCATGGACTTCATCCTTAGGACAATGGAGAGAGGCTCCACCAGTCCCACTGCAGAGGGCGGCGTTGGAGGGGCTGAACTGAGCCAAGGCAAGCAAAGGAGGCTGAGGCCGGGGGAGTGGGGCTGCCCTGAGGCCGGGTCCCTTGAGACTAGGCCCTAGAGATCACTGGGAGGGAATACAGGACCCAGGGCACCGAGAACAGCTTTGTGCAAATTGCATGGATGATTCCTTGGGACAAGCCCTTGGTGATGTGTGACAGACCCTGGGAAGGGGTGTGGCCTCAGTCCCCGCCTATTTCAGCTTGAGCTGGGGCTGGTGGCTTAGGCGGGCCCTGGCTCCGCAGCCAAGTGTGCAGTGGTGTCCTTACTCTGGCAGGACCTCAGGGAGGAGAATCAGTCGCTCCATGTCAGGGGCATTGCAACTGGGGATCCTGGACAGGGCCTGGAGGGGCAGGGAGTGATGGCTGTGACCTGAGAGACGGTGGCCCAGGCCTTGCAGAAGGAGGTGGAGTGTGAAGCATGCTGGGTGGCCCTCTGGAGGCTGCTGGGGGAGGGGCAGGCCATGAAGGAGAGGCTGCAGGGGCTGCAGTGGGAGAGGGGCCAGGACGCAGGTGGGGTCCCCATGGGCTCTTTCTTCCTCCCAGGCCAGGATTTTCAGCACTCAAGTGCCACAGCAGGGTGGGGCGAGGGCTGAGCAGGAGGTGGGGGTGCCAGGCGGGTGAGGACAGCAAGTCTCCAGGCAGTGCCCACAGCAGGCAGGAACGATGCAGGGATAGCCCGACCCCAGGAGCTGGAAGGGAGCCTTGTAGACCTAGGCGAGCGCCGTTTCTGGGGAGTGGTGGGCAGAGGCCAGGCTGTAGTGGGATCACAAGAGAGTTCCAGGGAGGGGTGTGGAGACACAGCGAGTCTGGAGCATTCTGGCAAAAATGTTGGCCGGGAAGAGATGGGAACAAGGGAGCAGGGTAGCTCTGGCAAGCACCTGATACTGGTGGCAGTGGTGGCTATCTGACTTCAGAGAGGAACACAGCTGACGCCCTTGGTCTTGGCCAGCCCTAACCCTTGGTGATTTGGATGAGCAGAAAGGACCAACTCGGTGGCCAGAGTCCACTTCCCAAATGAAGTCTCCCCATCGCATTTACAGTGTCATCCAGCGAACCTTGAGCTCACTGGTGGCTGTTTGAAAATGGGCCTGGCTTCCCGAGAATGTCACTTGCCTATGACCTGGGGCCGTTCCCGCCAAGTAAAGGGAGTCCCAGCAGTGATAAAGACAGTGCTGGCCTGTGCCTCTGAGAGAGCCATTAGTCACCCACACACACCTTTAGCTATGGGGGATGCCTGGGCTCTGAAGGAGGTGTCAGGGAGAGGCAACCTCAGTGCCACAGCCATCAGCGGACACACCCCGGAATGGCAAAGGGGACACTGGCAGCTATTTTTGTGACCTTGGCAGCAAGACCAGAGGGTTTCCCTGTGGGTGTTGGGTGCAGACGGCCAGTTCTCGGCTGCTGATGGCCAGCTTGCCTCTACCCTCTTGGGGTAGAAGTGCCAGGGCGACAGCGAGGCAGGGCTTACCTGTGGCTTAATCCGGTTCAGGCCCCGGAACCAGAGGATCTGGCCCCTGCGGAGCTCCCGCTCGGCGTGGTCGATCACTTCCTCACCTCCGGCCAGCTCCTCGTTGGTCATCTCGTCCTTCCCAGGCCCATGCCCAGCTTCCTTCAGGCACTTGAGCTGACTGGTGGGGATGGTGGCAATGACCTAGGAGAGCCACACGGAAGTGGCCGTGAGAGCCGGGCTGAGTAACATCTGCCTAGCATAAAGTCCCCCTCCAGAGGGAGACGCCGGCCTCCTTCCTCCAAAGGATGTCATTTTTTTGTGTGTGTGACTAAGCAAAGGGAGTAAAGCTAGAGCAGC